TTTAATTGTGATTTGGGTGAAAATTTACAGAGCAAATTCACTTTCCATACAGCAGTTCACATACACTTTGCCTCATGACATTGACCACAATTTACCATGATGCAACAGTTCCCCTCCCACTTCCTACCGATAATTAGCTCTTCCCTGTGTCCATCCCTCCATGCATTCCTGCCCCCTGAGCTGTCTCCCGGTGCATAAGCAGCCCTTCTTTCTCCTATGATTGTTTTCTCCAAGGAGTGTACCTACCTCAGGTAAATGTTCAACTCATATGCCTGTCTTTTGCTTGGCTGGAAGCCACAGGTGTGGGTTTAATTCCAGACTTCACAGGCAGCTTGGTGCCATGGTCTCAGTGGATCCATGAGGTGGTAAATCTTTACAGTAGTAGATTGCCCAGTCTTCCTTCTGTGGAGTGGCTGGTGGGTTTAAACTTCCAACCTTCTGATAAGCAGTCAAATGCCTTAGGCACTATGCCACCAGAGCTCCAAACAATTAATTATGGAGCCATCATAAATGATAATTATGATTTCCAGTATCAACAGAATTATTAGAGCAATGGACTATCCTTTTAGAAAAAAATTATTAGATCTTTCCCTTCACTGTAAACACAGACGTGTCAGATGGATTAATGATTAAATGTGAAAAGTAAACTCATAAAACTATTAAAATAGAGGTGAGCATTTATGTAATCATGGGGTAGGGAGTACCTTTATGAGCCATAAAGGAAAACATTTTGACAGATTTGAGGACATAAAGGTTAAAAGGTTTTCTATGTTAAAAACCTTGAACAAGATTAACAACTAATTACATTGGGAAAATTATTAGTGCAGCCCATGAAAATAGGGAGGGAGATTGATGATAGGCCATTTCATTCCCTGTTGGTGGGTATATACATTGACACATTTGCTTTATGGACAATTTGGTTTTATTTATTTTCAGAAAAAGGTGTATATAAAATATATCCAGCAATTTTCCTCCTGTGGAAATGCACATAAATGCTGATTTCAGCTAAATGTTCATCATTGGAGAAGATATAAATAAATAATGTTATTATGTAGCTGCTGTGGTCAAACTATATTTATTGCTATGGAGAGATGTCCACAATACGTATTTTTAATGAAAAAAGCAAACAAAAAGTAGAGTGGTGATATAATATATAATTCCATTTGTGTGAGTGTGTGTTTTTAAATATAAATATACCCTCAAATATCTGGAAGGAGACACATTAAACAGTTGTAATTACCTCTAGGAAATTGGAAGGAGTCAAGCTGACAGTCACTTTTCTTTTTTTCTTCTCTGATATTTTCATTTTTTTTTCACTAGGAATACTAGGAAGTATTGCTTACAATTTTTCAAAGTGAAGACATCTCATTGCTGACCCATTATGTATTCTGAATCTGTTTTTAAGTGTCTTCCTGACTATTGGAGAGTTTAGGATTTTGCCTAGTGTTGTGGTTACCTAGTGCCACTCTGACAAGAATATACCACAGATTAGATGGCTTTAACCAACAGGAGTTTATTCTCATACAGTTTTTGGAGGCTAGAAGTCCAAGTTCCAAGTGCCAGGCTCTAGGGGCTGTGTGAAAGCCTCTGGACCTTGGACTTCAGCTTTGCCTCTTGCTTCCGGCCCACTGAAGCTAGTGACATCTCTTCACTCAGCTGCTGGCTGCTGAGACTGACAAGCCCAAGGTCAACAGATAAAATGGTACAGTGCCAATGTTACCAAACAACACGACAGGGCATTGATTCAAGTCCATTTAAAGTCCTGAGATCAGCAGAGCATGGCAGGCTGCTGAAAAACAACTCAGCTACATGCAGGGTCCAAGTGTGCGGTAAGGTAGAGACCATTCCCAAAGCTGTTTCTTATATATGGGAAGCAGACCACGTACCCAAAGCAGCTACTCATCTCACCATGGGGAATAACTACGTTCAGTTGCCCAGCCACTCAACCAGGCCCAGCCAAGTTGACACACAAACTTAACCACCACACCTAGTATCACACCCCTCTAATCTATTCCGTGTTTTGTACCAATCACACTATTTAGACAAATACAAAGCACTGTAAACATTTGCATGTATATTTTGAACTTTTAATTATCCACAATTTATGGAGGTGGTGGAGGCATTATAGAATAATCAGACTAGGTCCCATTTTTACTTATTCTTTATTTAAAACTTTGAGGAAAGTTGTACCTACATTCTGCTAATGTGAAGAGTCAATTTCATATTACATAGAATTTTCTGAGGCTTCTCAGGAAGTCTTACTTGAGCTACATACTTTTTTAAAAAATATATTTTTATTACAGTATTTATTATTTTACAAGTAATATTTGTCTACTATCTAATTGAATATACCATGGACTTCCAGAAGAACAAGCAAATCTGTCTTGGAAGAAGTACACCCAGAATGCTCCTTAGAAGCAAGGGTGACAAGACTTCATCTCATATACTTTGGACATGTTATCAGAAGAAACCAGTCCCTGGAGCACATTATGGTTGGTAAAGTAGAGGGTCTTCAAAAAGAGGAAGACCCTCAAGAGATTGATTGATACAGTGGCAGCAACATGGGTCAAGCATAGCAACGCTTGTGAGGGTGATTCAGGCCCAGGCAGTGTTTTGTTCTATTGTATGTAGGGTCACTATGGGTCGGCATAGACTCAACAGCACCTAGTAACAATAAAAACATCAGTATAAGTGAAATAATACAATGATGGTAAGGGTCTCCTGAGCAACCAGGACTAACAGTTTAGAGCAGCATTTCAGTGGAACTTTTTATGGTGGTGTAGCTGTTCCATATCTCTGCTGCCTAATATGGTATCCACTGGCCACATGTAATTGTTGATCCCTGGACATGTGGCTAGCATGAGTCAAACCAAATTCAGTGCCACCGAGTAGCTTCCAACTCATAGCAACCCCTCCTTGGGTTTCCAAGGTGATATCTCTATGGAAGTAGATTGCCTAATCTTCCTTCTGAGGAGTGGCTGGTGGGTTTGAACTGCCAGCCTTCTGGTTAACAGTCAGATGCCTTAGGCACTACACCACCAGAGCTTCCTAGCATGAGTAAGGAACTGAATTTTTAATTTTATGTAGTTTTAATTGAGATTTAAATAGCCACACATGGCTAGTTGCTATATATAGGACAGAGTAGGTTTGGAGAATATCTTTCAGTGGTTTTCTCTGTGCTCATTGATAGGTACAAAAGAACTGTGTGAATTTCTCTTTCCCCTAATTTCCTAGTGACTTTTGCATTGAACTGGAATTACCTTGTGTGTTCTTTTTCTATTAATCTACTATGCTCTGGTGGCATAGTGCTTAAGGCATTTGACTGCTAACCAGAAGGCTTGCAGTTCAAACCCACCAGCCACACCTTGGAAGGAAGGTTGGGCAATCTACTTCTGTAGTGATAGCACCTCAGAAACCCAAAGAGGGGTCACTATGAATCGGATCCGACTAGATGGCAGTGGGTTTTTTATACTTCAAAAACTTTAACGAATATAATTGTATTGGTCTTTTTTTTCATTATATTTTTAAGGTATATATGATAATTAATGATCCAAGGTAAACAGATCATATTAACCATAAGCTATACCCTTTGTGATATTTATGGCATACTTTGTTGCAGAGATGGAAAATCATGTCCTGCAAGATGAGGATTGAACAATTGAAACAAACAATATGTAAAGGAAATGAAGAAATGAAGAAAAGTAAGTAATTTCTACCTGTACTGGTTACCTAGTGCCGCTCCGACAAGAATATACCACAAGTGGGATGGCTTGAACAAACAGCAGTTTATTCTTACAATTTGGAGGCTTTAAGTCCATGTTCAGTGTGTCAGACTCTAGGAGCTGGGTAAAAGCCCCTCAACCTTGGGCTTCAGCTCTGCCTCCTGCAAGCAGCCCACTGAAGCTGGAGGCTTTTCTTCACTCAGCTGTTGGCTGCTAAGGCCAACAAGCCCAAGGTTGACAAGTAAAAAGGCACGGTCCCGTTGTTATACCAAACTACATGGCAGGCCATTAATTCAAGTCTATTACAAGTCCCAAGGTCAGCAGAGCATGACAGGCTGCTGAACGATGATGACATGGCTACAAGCAGGGTTCAAGCGTACCATAAGCTAGAGACTTCCTCAAGGATTCTCCTTATATACAGAAAGCAGACCATAGCCCTAAGGCAGATGCTTAGCTGCTCACAGTCGATTCCACCATGGAGTTGATTGCCAGTCTCTTCATGGGAAATACTACCACCAGCTGCCCAGCCACTCAACCAGGCCCAGCCAAATTGACACACACACTTAACCACCACACTACCCCCTCCAGTCCTAATTAAAGGAGCCCTGGTGGTGTAAATGACTAAGTGCCAGCTGCTAACTGAAACGGTGGCATTTAGAAACCCACTTCCTGACTTTCTGGAAGGCAGGCCTGGCAGTCTGCTCCTGTAAAGATTATAGCCAAGAAAACCTGTGGGGCAGGTCTCTGTCACATGGAGTAACTATGGCTTGATAGCCTCCAACAGCAACAATCAGCCCTAATAAGGGACTTGTGAAATTTTAGGGATTAAGTAAGCTAGAGAGGCAGAGAGCAGGAAGGAGGGTGGGCACAAGAGCAACTTGGAAAAGCTTACTGCTGGCTTTTCTTCCTTGTAAACCTTGGGATAAGGATTTTTTTTTTTTTTTTTTTTGGTAATAAATACTAGACTAAAATAACCTTCTAACTTTCTTAATGGAAAAAAAAAAAATTAAGGAATCTGTGTTTCCATTTTGCCTTAGTTTCCTGAAGGTTCAGAGTCTACCTTGGCACTCATCATAATCAGCTCACATCAGAAGCACAGAATATTGGCTTTTCCTCCCTTAGTGAGTCTCATGCATATATTAACCTGTATTCATTTTAAATTATATGTATTCTTCACACTTTATCATAGGTGGTTGTCAAAATTTAAGACAGAGTCCTCCTAGAAATACCATATCCTTAGAAATAGTCCATGTATTTCTGAAGATCAGTGTTTCAAATTTTAAATGGGTCACCATCATACATTGTGTATCCTTTTCTTGTCTACTCACTGCTTTCAGAAGCAAGTATTTTATAGTAGGATGTGATGGTGCAAAAGTTTCCTTTGAAAATGTCCTAGTATTTGCTGGTCTGACAGAGCCTGATGGAACCACTGAGACTGTGGCCCCTAGTTGCCTGTTAGGTCTGGAATTAATCCCACTCCTCTGTCTTCCAGCCAAAGGATAGGCATATGAGCTGAACACTTACAGTAGGTAGATACACTCCTTGGAGAGGTCAGTCATGGGAGAATAGAAGGGCTGTGTATGCACAGAGAGACAGCTTGGGGGACAGGAGTGCATGGGAGGGAAGGACACAGGGAAGCAGTAACTATGGGGAGCTGTTGCACTGTGAGAAATTGCAGTTGGTGTCAAGAGACAAAGTGTATATGAGCTGCTGTATGGAAAGTGAATTTGCTCTGTAAATTTCACCCAAATCATAATAAAAATTTTTAAAAAAAAGAAAGAAAATTTCCTAATAAAGGCTTGTGTGGAGTTTCACAGGATTAATTAGCTGGGAAGGACTTGGGTCCGGCGGCAGTATGGTGAACAAGTGCTCAGAGCTACAGAGAACTGATTACCTACTGAGTTTTACATGATTCTTCAAAGGCCCTAGTTCAGTAGCACAGGAACTTGTTACTTAACATTGGTTCACTCTCTTTCCCATCCTGCCATGATGTTCAGACCACAGGTTTGCCATCAGGCATCAGTGAGCCTTCTGAAATTGCTGAATTTACTGAGCTTGTGCATTTTTCTGATGAGCAAGGTTAAAGCTTTGATCAGCTTCTTTTAACAGGTTCTTTACCCCCCCCAAAAAAAAAAAAAATCTGCAGAAAATAAAAAACATAGTTTTAAAGCAGTGGGCCCTGTAAGGATGATTTTCATCCCTAGCAAATCATCAAAGTCACCTGGTGACCTTTTTATAATCTAAAGAGAATCCTGAATCCACTTTAGATTTAGGAATAATTAAAATTTCATGGCTGAGGAGTAGTCAGTGGTTCTCAAACTGCCTGTAGTGAAAAACCAGTTTTTTTCTTCTTTAATTTCTAATCTGTCATAAACTGATACTTTTGTAAAATTCAATAAAAATTAAAATGATTCCACATTTGAATATTAATGTAATATCAAATTATTATAAAGTTTCTAAACACTCATGTTGTATTTTTTTACTTTTCTTGCAAACTGATAACAGTTTGCAGATAGGCCCAGGCCGATAGGCAACACTTTGAGTAGCACTAGTCTGGGTAGTTCTGATGGCCTGCCAGGGTTTGGAACCACTGCTTTTTTAAAATAATCTATTTCCCACCCTCTGTTGTTGTTATGTGCCGTCGAGTCAGACCCGACTCATAGCAACCCCTCCTTGGGTTTCCGAGGCAGTATCACTACAGAAGTAGATTGCCTCATCTTCCTTTCAAGGAGTGGCTGGTGGGTTTGAACCACTAGTCTTCTGGTTAGCAGTAAAGTGCTGTAGGCACTATGCTACCAGAGCTCCCTCCCACCCTCTAGACCAGACAAAATTTTGCATTCAGTTTCAAGGGAGTTAGTAGATTCCAGAAGTTATGCATGGCCCAAAGCCCACAAATTAAGAGCTTGCTACCCAAGTCTATTTCTCTCTCTCTATATATATATTTTTTTAAATATCATGTACTTTCAGAAAAGGGCACAAATTATAACCTGTTGCACCTGATAAATTACTTCTTCAGGATCTTTTAAGATTTCATGGTACAGATACACATAATAGAGTATAATACAGATACATTACACAGCACAGGCAGAGAAGTTAGATTGTATGAAGTTTCAGGGTTGAGTTGATCCATACTGCAATCAGACTCAGAAAGTAGAAGTAGATTATAGCAATAGCATCAAAATGTTTTGGCCTTTAGTAGGGGGGATATATAGAGAGAAAAAGTTAAGCTCTTAAGTGCTGAGTCTATACTGGGTGCAGATTGGGTGACTATGATGATTTCCTGCCACCCACATAACATGAGGTCTCATAGTATTAAATTTGAAATTGTCCTTAAGAAATATGACTACCATATAACTCAGGACATGACTAGACAGATCCATTTGAGCACTTGTAAAGAACTCAGTAGAGATCGTGGAAAGAACTGAGCTCACTGGAAAGTGAGCATGTGGTGGAGCCATGGGACTTAATTTTTAGGGCACTCAGAATGAGCAGGATGGTAAAAGACATGTATCTAAAGAGAAACAAAACTTAAGAAATCTTATAGCTACAACTAAATACTTAGGTTCAGTGGTCCTCAGTAAAAGGGTGGCTTCCGTCCACAGACATTTATTAGATACCTGTTACATTCGAGGCAGACAACGTTTTGGCAGACCTGATAGAAAGAACTAAGAACACGTGCCATAGGAGGGGGAACAACACATTGCCATAGAGTTCCCAGGAGCAAAAAGTCTGGGAAGTGTTCATAGAAGGGGACCTTGCTGAATGAGTAAAATTTAGACATTTGGAAATTAGGAGCAAATAGAAAGCATTCTTGGAGGGATGTTGATTTGAACAATATGGAGATGACTGTTCAGGGAATAATGATTGGTTCATTATCTTGTCATCTATCCATCCATGAGTTTATTTAAGTATTTCTACTTTGTGAAAAAGGACTTGCAGCATCTAGTAATTGAACAAGGCCAGAGTAAAGGGAAATGTGGGCTATATTCCAGTTCGGGAGTGGTTTCAAGGCTAAGGAGTTTGGTGTGTATTTGATGAGCAGTGGATAACCACTGAGCATTTGGGCCACAGTTTGTGAAGACTAAGCCAATGAAGGAGAGCAGGAAAGCTTGGAATGGAGTCAGGCTAGAGGCAGATACGGTTTTGGTGCGCATTAACTAGGATTGTGTTGGTGGAAATGAAAGTCTAAGTGTAAAGAAGTGTAGGCCAGCTAATGGAATTGACCATTAAAGGATTGATTCAGACAGAGAACAGGTCAGAAACAATCATGAAGTAGATAACCTAGCTTAAAATGTCAAGGAGATTTTTCTGGGAAAATAAAGAGCTTGGTTTTGAGTTTGAGCTTCAAACTGGTAGATCCATGGATTCAAGCATAACAGTGATTGAGAGGATGGCTCAGGCCCAGGCAGTGTTTTGTTTTGTTGCACACAGAGTCACTGTGAGTTAGAACAAACTCGATGGCACCTAACAACAACAA